GGGGTCCTCGGCCGGGCGGGAACTGGCCGAAGGGCCGCCGCTAGGGGGCGACCGCGGTCCTTCACGGCTGAGGATGTGGGGACCTCGTCCCTGCTCTGAGGGAGTTAACGCCTTCGCCGCACCACTTTCATCCCACATTTGTGTTCTTGCAAGGAGAAACGCGATTTGGGAGATGCCCGGAAACCTGGCATTTTCAAGCCGGTGTGGTGGCGCACACCTGTAATCCCAGCACTTGGGAGGCTGAGGCAGGAGGATCACCAGGAGTTCAAGGCCAGCCTGAACTACATTGTGAAAACCTGTCTCAAAAACACACAAAAAGGGCATTTTCATGTCTCCTAATGGTTATATTAACGGAAGGCCATGGCTATAGAAAAGCGGTGTGGGGAAGCGAAGTGTAGCCTGGCTGGGGTAGATACACTCTATGTGGGGGCAGACAGGGCTGGGACGCTGCTGGGCTGGAGCCTTGGCCGAGGGATGGGGAGTACCAGGGCCTGGGGGAGTTGAACCGCTTGCCCCAGACACAGACACAGACGAGGACTCAGATTTGCATACATTTTATTCCCAATGCGGGACAGATTCCTTCCGTCCCCCAAATGAGTAACACGCTGCCCTGGGAAGGCTGCGGACGCCCACCGTGCCGCGGAAGGAGCGAGGCAGGTGCAGGACTGCAGTGCGGTCCCGGCCGGCCTCCTCCCCTTCGCAGCAGAGGACGGCTGTTCCCAGGACTCCCCTGACACGCAACCCCTTAAAAAAGAAACACAGACAAAACCCTCCAGTACTTCGGGGAAGGGAAGGGTCCGAGCCAGGGCGCGGGGTCAGGGGCCACCGGGAGGGACCCGAGCGTCACTGCTTCTGCTGCAGGGCTTCCTTCCTCGCTGCGTCCTGCAGCAACTGCGTGTCCACCTCGTCTGCGGGCAGCTGCACATAACGGACCACAGAGCCCCGGATGAAGCAGTTCTTCACAGACAGCTGGACAGAGAGACACACAGACAGATGTGCAGAAGCCCTTTCCACTGCCCTGAGCTCCGGGGCCTCCTGCTTGTGTTTCCCGACCAGCCCTAACTCACCATGTGAGGGTACTTCTCAGGGTCTGTGACACTGATGTCCGTTAGCTTGATGTTGAGATACTAAGAATAGAGGAAGAGCAACATCACTAACTACAGGGAGGGAGATGAGCACCCAACCCTTCCCTTTCCCGCTCTCCTTCCCCGACGACCGTCTGAGCCCTCACTGTCTTACCTGGTCCACGGAATGCAGGGTTCCACAGATGCTGTCAAGGGTAAAAGGAGGGAAGAACCGATTAGCTGACACTCAGTCAACACAGGTACTTCGGAGCTAGGATGGGAACACGGCCGGAGGAGGACAAGGCCTTGGGGAAGCTACAACAGCAGAACCGAGAGGCCCGCCCTAAGCCCTGGCGGAGGAAAGACAGCTCCCAGGATGGTTTGTTATTTTAAATTCCACCTTTCTTTCCTAAACCAACCCATTCTATTTTGTTTTGCTTATAGACAGGGTCTTGTTATGTAGCCCAGGCTGGCCTCAAAGTGGATGGAAATCCTCCTGCTTCAGCTTCCTGGGAACCAAGCTATTCTTTTTAGTTCCAGGGCTGGGGATGGAACCTAGGGCCTTTGCACTAAGCAACATTCCCAGCACCCCCCTACTTTATTTCAATTTTTGAAACAGGGTCTCCTAAGTCACTAAGTGCCCTGGGCTAGGCTTGAACTTGTCCTCCTCCTGCCTCCTGCCTCCACCTTCCAGACTGCTGGGATCACAGTGTCACCACTTGGCTAGTATTTGTAATCTTCACAGTCATTTCTCCAAAGTAGCTATCACCATGCAGGGACTTGCAAAGTTGTATAACTTGTCCAAGGTTAGAACTAACAAACAGGGGCATCATTCCAGGTCTGACTCCAAGAAAGCTCAGCTACTTTTAAATATTTACTGCTCTGGAACCAGAGTCCTGTACGGCGATAAGGCCGCTAGCATTATTCTTAGTGGCACAGGCACAAGCCACAGCCCTTCAGCAACGCTACTGAGAAATGCTACGAAGACGCCAGCGTTGCAAGTTATGCTGTGCCCAGACTCGCTGCTAGCTGTCAATGGCTCTGGCAACTGAAATCGGATCCTTTCCTCTGCGTGTTCCATGAATGCCCACTGACGTGCTCACTCCAACACTTCTGCAATTCTTTCTCTAGTATGACTTTCACAAAGCCAGGCATAATTACTGTGCACCTCTATGGGCCACCTGGCTTGTAACTGTCTGTAGGTCACGACCAGGTTCTGTTCTGCAGATCCCTACCTTAGAGCCATGGTTCGTAAACACTGATGTACACGCAAAGGCGGCACGAAACCACAACAGAAGAGGAAATGCAGTAAGCCCCCATTATGGTGGCTGTGTAGATGTCCCCCCGCCAAAGCCTCATGCCTTTTCAGAGGTGGCTGAATCTGGAGTGTGGGACTGACTCTTGGGGGACTAGGCTGGAGGGCACTAGGATTAAGGGCGTGAGTGCCACCAGTCCTAAGTGGTCTGAATAAAATGAAAGGGGCACAAGCCAGGGGTGGTGGCACACGCCTGTAATCTCAACACTTGGGAGGCTGAGGCAGGAGGATCCCTGTGAGTTCGAGACCAGCCTGGGCTAGTGAGTTCCAAGGTCAGCCTCAACTACATAGTGAGACCCTGTCTCAAACACACACACACACACACACACACGCACGCGCCACACAACTTATCTTACCAAAAGTAAGTTAGCACCTCTCTATTGGACCTTTTTTTTTCTTTCTTTCTTTTTTCTTTCATGTAGGGGGTAGAAACCCAGGGCCTCACTCATGTTAGGGAAGATCTACACCCCCAGCCCTTGGCTCCAGTTTTTCAACTTTTGTGAAATTCTAAGTCTTTGAAGTCGTGTCTGCCTCAGACCTACTGGCTGAGTGTTCTTACCACATCCGTGGCTGCTGGAAAACCTGACAGTGTGTTCTATCTGCAGCAATGCAATAACTTTGAAGAACTGCATAGGAGCCAGGGATTTAGCTTAGTGGCCCTGTGCCTTCCTGGCAAGCTCAAGGTCCTGAGTTTGATTCGGGTACTGAGGCGGGGGGATTGCACAGGACAGTGTCCTTTCGGTCAGTTCCCCAAGCAGGACAGATTTGGCACCAAAACTTCCATTCCACAATGTTCAAGCAAGTCATGTCCCTCTCCTCCTCATTCTATTCCCTGTCAATGTTTCCCCAGCAAGAAATTACCTCACACAGAAATGTAGAAGGTACCACTGTGGAGCAAATACACTGATGCAATCTTTCTAAAAGACAACCAGGCAACAAATAAAAGTATTTAAAATGTACGTTTCAGCTGGGCATGCAGGCCTGTAATCCCAATAGTGGGTAGGCTGAGGCAGGAGGACTGCTGAGGTCAGCCTGGGCTACATAATGAGTTCGAGGCCAGCCTGAACTGCACAGGAAGACCCTATGTCAAAATACAAACAAATAAAAAACCCACACATTTAATTAAAGAAGTTTCTTTCTAAAGAAATAACATGTACAAAGATGTATGGGTGTAGCTGTGCAGGGCCACAGAGTCTTCACAATGAGCTACATCCTTGCCGCCCCTTTTTTTTTTTTTTTTATGCAGGATCTTGCTAAATCGTTTAAACTGGGCTTGAACTGGCAGTTCTCCTGCCTCAGCCTCACAAAGTGCTGGGAATAGAGGCACGCTCTTTACATACTGCTTTGTATTTCACAGTCCTCCATACAGCTCCGCAGCGAATCTTTCAACTTCTCTCTGCCAACGTGCCAACCCTCAAGTACTTGTTACACCGGTTGCTAGGGCCGGGTCACATACCCGCTCCAGACTCCCTGAACAGGTACCTACCTCAGGTCATTCTTGAGCTCCACTACCACATCCTTGCCCACAAGGGACTTGAAAAAGGAGTAGAAGAGCTATTGGGTAAGAGAGGGAAACCATCAGGACGGAAGGGACAGGACGCGCGGGAGGAGCCGCCCCCCCCCGCCCGCGGCGCTCCCTTGTGACGTCACGATACCCACCATGGTGCCGG